CTGAACGTGAGGATGACTTGAAACACTTGCCATAGAAGATCAAAGAAAGGCTACAACCTTCCAATATGGATTACATTGCAATACCAAGAAAACAAAAATCCTCACCTCCGGGCGCATAGGTAGCAGTTTGATAGATGGAGTAAAGACTGAAGTTGTCAACAGTTTCATCTTGCTTGGACCCACCATCAACACCCTTGAGGAATCAAAAGACTTGTTGCATTGAGAAAGTCTTTTGTCAGGGACCTGTCCAAAATACAGAGCAATGATGTCAAGTCAAAGACTAATGTGCGCCTCATCAAACCTGTGGTATTTTCAAGTACTTGCTATGCATCTGAAAATTGGGCATTGACTACGGATGACAGAAGAATGGATGTCTTTGAGCTGTGGTGTTGGAGAAGAGTACTGAATAGCTCATGGACTGCTAGGAGAAGAAACAAATATATATTAGAGAAAGTACAAAGAGGTGAAACTTTGTTTCACATATATTGATGATGCTGTCAGAAGGGGCCAGTCTAGAAAAAGATACCATGCTTGGAAGGGTGGAAGGTCAGTGAAAGAGGAAATCTTCTGCAAGATGAACTGACAAAGTGACTGCAGCTTGAGCACGTCAGAGATGAGGAAGGAGGCACAGGATAGGGCAAGGTTCAGATGTGTGGTTCACAGGGTCGCCAGGAGCCACTGCGGCACCTAACAACAAGAAGAACGAATGCTGCTTTACGCATGTTGTCAAGAGAGGCCAGTCCTTGGAAGGGGTAGGAGAGTCAGTGAAAGATAGAACCTCACCAAGATGAACCGACGTAGATAGTGACATCAACAATGGATGTAAGCCTGTTGGAGGTGGTGAAGATGGTGCAGAATTGGGCAAAGTTTCAATTTGGTGCACATTGTTGTTGTTGTTATGTGCCGTTGAGTCACTTGCAAATCATAGCAATTCTATGTACAACAGCCCAGAAACCTGCTCTATCCTGCACCAATCTTACTGTCTCTGACACGCCTATCCCAATTACCCCAGTGACTGTATCAATCCATCTCATCGAGGGTCTTCCTCTCGTGCGCTGTCCCTCCACTCTCCGAAGCATGATGTCCCTCTCCAAGGACTAGTCCCTCCTTGTAACATGTTCATTGTATGTCAAACGGGGCTTCAGAATCCTTGCCTCCAAGGAGAAGCCTGGCTTCACCCTCTCCAGGACTAACCTGTTTGTTCTACTAGCAGTCTATGGTATATTCAATACTCTTCTCCAACACCACAACTCAAAGGCATAAACTTTCCTTCTGTCATCCCTAGTCATTGTTCGGCAGGCACACCTTAGTCTCCAGACTGACTTCATTGCTCTTCAGTACTTTGGAGAGGTCTCTATCAGCAGACTTTCCCAACGCAGTTCGTCTTTTAATTTCCTGGTTGCTGGAACCAAGAGTGTTGAATGTAGAGCAAAGCAAACCAAAGCTGTGAACAATCTCAATCTATCATCTATCATGCATGATTCTTCCAGTTGGCCCAGTGGTTAGAATCTTTGTTTTCTTGCTGTTGAACTTCAATCCATCTTGAAGGCTGCAGTCCTTGACCTTCTGTAACAAGTGCACCAGGTCCTCCTCAGTTTCAGCAAGCAAGGTTTTGTCATCTGCATAACACAGATTGTTGATGAGTCTTCCTCCAATCTTGATGCCACACTTCTCCTCATAGAGCCCAGCCTCCCGGATAATGTGTTCCTCACGTAGATTGCAAAGATCAGGATGGTGGTGCACATTGGGTTGCTATTAATTGGAGTTGACTCAGTAGTACTTAACATTAAATGTTAAGAAGGAAAAACCTGGGCAACAGTGACGAGTTCCATGGTCAGGGAAGGAGTGCTGACCCTGGCTCTGAGGAGCACTGGAGCAGAGCCAGGTGGTGTGCAGGGACCATGACCCAGTCAAGGAGGACCTCACGTCCCATGACTTAGAGATCCATGAGCCTCTCGCATTCAAGAGGAAGAAGAAGGGCAGTGCAGCTGGAACACAGTGAATGGGGGAGAAGGAGGGAGATGTGGTGGGATATTAGTAGAGTGGCACAGATGGGGACCAGAGCACCACAGGACCTTTGTGGGCGAAGATGTTCCTCTTGGATTTTATTTCATTGCATTCGAAAGCCACCGTGGTGGCTACTAGCTGAAAGGTTAGCAATTTGAATCCACCAGCTGCTCTGGGGGAGAAATACGAGGACGTCTCCTTCTATTAAGATGTCTAGGCTCAGGTCCTCCGATGGTGGATCACCATGAGCTTTTCTGGGTTGGATGGGGCAAACAGTTAAGTTCTTGGCTACTGATGAAAAATTGATGCTTTGAATCCATTTACTAAGAAGGACCTGTCAGTTTTCTTTTGAAAATCAGCTGCTTAAAATCCATGGAGCAAAGTTCTCTTATACATTTGGAGTCCCAGTGAGTCAGAGTGGATGCCATAGCAGTTTTTTCCTTTTTTGGCAGGGGTTTGAACAGGACCGCAGTGTGAGCCAGTGGACACTGGAGGGCGCTGGTGGGCGGTGTACTCTCCCTGGGGCTGCACTGGCAGGAGGCCCAGTCAGAGACTTAAGCACAGCCTCTAATGTGTGAACTCCACCTTTACCCCAAAATTATATGCTTTGGACACAACAAAATTGCGTTCCACTAAGTGCTAGATTTCAGTGATATCTTCAGATAGTGGCTTTTTGTGCCTTGCCAACTTTACTAAATACTGTTATTAAAAGGTGTTTATGCAGCTCACTCCACATCACAAATCCGTGTTATAAAGGCTGAATGTGCAGGTAAGGACTCCTCTCTCCCTGGCCAGGTACTCTACCTGCTCAAACCAGGACTGAGGCCTGGCCACCTCCTGCCCCCCTGCTTGTCTTTAAGTTCTGGCTGATTGCTTTTCCTGCTTGAAGCTTTCGTTTTTAAATTCCATGTAGAGCTCAGCCAAGTATTTGAAGTTTGGATATTGGCACTTCTCTTGAACTCCAGTTTTATCCAGAAGTTTAGAGGACTTGTCTGTTTCCTGGTTAGAAGAAGGGTTATTTAGCCATTCATTGCAACAGAAACCACACACCTGGTCTGATGTGTATGGAACAGAAATATATTTTTTTTAAGTGGCTCAGTGGAGATTTTCCCAGACTTTTCTTCTTTGCAAAATCTTTCCAGTTGATACTAATGAAATTGTTTTGACATTGGGGAGCATACTTTATAACAGCTCTTTTGTCCTGATGTGAAACTAGAGAACATCTGCTAGGGACAGCTTCAGCCAACAGCATCTTTCTTGATGTATGTTTTCCTGTTGCATGCTAAAGGGTAGTTAAAGTTCTGTGTACTTGTAGACTGTAGTGAAAGATTGTTTAATAGTTATGGAGTAAAAAACTTCTACGATTCACCAGCCCTTCTTCTGACCATTTGTCAAACAATTTATTCTGTAGTAGACACCTTGGTAGGAAGTGAGTGTTTGAATACTAGCCTAAAGGCTGATGATTTTAATCACCCAATAGCAGAGTGAAAGGCCTGACAATCTTCTTCTACACGATAACAGCTAAGAAGAGCCTTTGGAGCAGTTCTACCCTGGCTTACCTGGGGTCCCCAGAAGTCAGAACTGGCTACAGAGCAGGTTCCATGTTTTACATTTTTTTACTGGTTTACAAATAAATTGAACCTTTAGCAAGGTGAAATAATAGTGATATGATAAATATTCAGATGTTAGAGCTTCGAGAGACCTTTAGGGCATTTGGCTTAATCCCTACATTTCCATAAAGGAGCTTTATGGACCTGCCTGAGGAGAAAAGCCCGCCAGTGGTCAAGTTGAGACAAGATTCTGGGCTTCTCTCCACACCCTCTGACCACATACACTATTTCTGATTAGTAGCAAACAGAGCCGGATGTCCCAAGCAGAAAATATAGAAATCCGAGCAAAAGTGGACCTGTTGCAGCCCTCCCACCCCTTTTCCCCCAAGACAGGGGACTTTTGTACCTATGTTAACTGAAAAAATGACTCATGAAAGTAACTTTTATGACCTTAAAACCATTGAAAGCGTCACATGGAAAAGCTGAATCACATAAATGAAAGTTAAATAAATGACATAAAGTATCAAACATTTCCAACAGAGAAAATCTGAAAACCATTCCCAAAATTAGCCCTGGCCAATAAATCTATAAATTTGAGAACGAATACGTTCTGCTACTTCAGCAAATACATTCAAGGGTTCTTTGCAGGAAAGCCAGGCTGCCTCTCTCTGTAAAGACAACCAGCCACTGCTTGGCTGGCCTTCGGCTGGCCTCGGTGTGTGCTTTGGGGAGCCGTTTGGTTTTTAAACAGTGTGGAGGTGAATGAACAGAGTCTTTCTTGAGACTTTGCCCTTTTCCTCAGTACGCAGGAGTTAGCAGAGTTGAAGAACCAGTAACCCATTGAAGTTCTCTGATACTTCATTTTATTCCCCAAGGGAATCCTGTTTGTGGACTGTGCCAGAGTAGCTGAATTCTAAGTTGTTCTCTATCCCTTTTCTCAACTTCCTGAGCCCTTTGCTGGCTTCCTGCCTGCCTGTGTGAGGAGCTGAGGCCATGAATTCTCTCTCTGGCACTGGTGTTGGGCCAGACACGTAGGTGGCTTTTCCATAGAGCAGCTCAAAAACTTGCCCTCCCGGTTTGTTTTTGATTGTGCGTATATGTGTGTGTTTTCATGCCTACACTGAAGGAACATTCCAGCCAGAGGTGCCAAAGATCACAAGGCTCGGCTCTTGCAGTGGTGGATGTTAGAGCTTTGAGAGACCTTTAGGGCATTTGGCTTAATCCCTACATTTCCATAAAGGAGCTCTATGGACCTGCCCGAGGAGAAAAGCCTACCAGTGGTCAAGCCATCTGCAGGGAGAAGAACAGACACCGGAGTGTGGCTGTTTATCAGTGAGAGGACTGCTCCACATGCAATGAGGCCCCTATTAGTGTGGGAATAGTAGTTATTCAGTACTGCATCACCATATCTTTCTCTCCCGAGTGACAGTGCATGTCTTGCAGGTCATAAAGAAGGAAACCGGATTTTGGAGGGACTTTGGATTTGGGATGACTTGTCAGTACAGATCAGACTTCATCAATATAGGTAAGAAAATGCAGCTTGAGGAAACTGCATCTCTACTGCCACCCAGAGGCCACTGGTCAGCGCGTTGGGTCTGATGGTAAAGGTGGTGCCATTCCCCCTCTGTCGGATTTGGGAACTGAGATAAAAGAGAGTTTCTGGGATTGTCTCTTTAACCCCTATGTCCTTCACCAGCATGTCTCAGTCACCCTCTAGAATATTTGGATAGCAGTTAGCAGCACTGTGACATCACCTGGAATGATACACAATCTGGAAAGAAGAAAAAAAAATCTGAAGTAAAAGGGAAGTTTGAGCATAAACTAAATTCAAACTAAATTCTCCAGTGCCTCCTTCCAACTAGATTCTCACTCCTGAACTTTCTGAACTAGAAAATCCTGAGCCTTCAGTGTGTGTGTATGTGTTGGAGGAATTGGGGGAGGGTGTTGGAGGTGATTCATTTAAAAAAACCCAAACAAACCCAACAATAAAACCAACACAGGCCCTTTTTCTAGTTTTGATAATAATCTCAGGGAAGCTTTGGCCTGGTGAGGCTCTGTAATGAATTCCGAGAAAATATGTTGAGAGAACATCCCTGTCTCCTGTGAGTCAGACTCTGGTGAGGAAGGGTCCGCGGCAACCAGACGCCAGTGCTTCTTTGGCTGTAGTTGGGACCTGGGGAGCTTTAAGTAAGGGAAAATGGGCATCGGAGTCTACAGAGGTGAAACTGTAGGTGCTGTTAACTCACTTCATGAAATTCATTATAAAATGAAACAAGATCTTCTTGGTGTAGAACTTGAGAATTGATTATAAGCCCAAAATAAAGCTATTACCCTGAGTCCATTCCCATGCATGGCACGCCCATGTGCTGCAAATACAGCCTCTCTGGATCACCAGCCCTTTCTTCTGCACTCCTGGTAGATGGGTTCACACTGCCAACCTGCAGGTTAGTAGTTGAGCGCAAATCCTTCCCGCCCTCTAAGGACTTGGCCAGTCCTCTCTCAGACGGCTGACTGCCCTGCTGGTGGGGGGCGCACAGCTTTTCAGGACCACTTTCCTTAGTGGTTTGAAGAGTTGGGGACTGGACTACTAACTGAAAAGCCTGGCACCCTATTTGTGGAAGCTCATGGCCTGGAAAACACTGTGGAGAGTGGGTTGTGTTTGGTGTTTGTTTTTTCTACAGCATAATTTCGATCAACATGGGTTAGAATTGAATCTGTGGGGATTTTTGTCATTGCTGGTTGAGGTTTTTTTTATAATCTCTAAAAGGAAGAGTGTTTGTGGCAAGCAGTTGTTTACATGTTGGCATCCTCCTTCACTCTTTCAGAGTGCAAGCCCCTGGTTTTGCCTATTTGCAATGGCAAGAGGTGAGCACAAATGGAAACACAAGAATTTTCTCTAGGAGTCTCAAATTGAAAATTTGGAAAGCTGCTGCAGCTCCTAATCTGAGTCTAGGGCTATTAATTATCATTACTTATAGCTGTTTAAACAGAAAAATGCTTGGACTACTGTTTGTAGCCTTTTAATAGAAAGAACTTGCTGCTGTGTGTTATGAGGGCTGGCTGGTGGGAAACCCCAAGGCCTCTAACCAGAAATGGTACTTCCAGGCTTTGGGAAACACATTGTTGTTGTCATTATGTGCTGTGGGGTCAGAACCAAGTCATAGCTGACTCTCCGGGGGGTTTTCAGAGCCTGTAAGTCAATGGGAGGAAACTGCCCATCATTGTCCTGTGGAGCAGCTGGTGGTTGTAAACTAGGTGCCTTTCGGTTAACAGTAAAGTGCTTACATTTAGCCACGGAGGTCTTGGGCGAAACACATTGCATCTCCATGCAAAACACTGTGCTTCTGCAGCTCAAAGAAACCTATCAGTCACCATCAAGCTAACTCCAGCTCATGATGACCTCATGTGTGTCAGATTAGAGCTGTGCTCTATAAGGTTTCCAAGGCTGTACCTTTTTGGAAGTAGATTGCCAGACCTTTCTTCTGAGGCACTTCTTGGTATTTTTCAGCTGTCACCTTTTCTGTTAGTAGGCTGATTGTGCCGCTCAGGATCTCTGTGCAGATCAGAGAGACAAGTGTAGATGAGGAAATGTATGGGCCACCTTATTCACCCATGCGCCTTCTCCTGACAGGTGGCTTTGACTTGGACATCAAAGGCTGGGGAGGAGAGGATGTGCACCTTTACCGCAAGTACCTCCACAGCAACCTCATCGTGGTGCGCACGCCTGTGCGGGGCCTCTTCCACCTCTGGCACGAGAAGCGCTGCGTGGATGAACTGACCCCAGAGCAGTACAAGATGTGCATGCAGTCCAAGGCCATGAACGAGGCCTCGCATGGCCAGCTGGGCATGCTGGTGTTCAGGCACGAGATCGAGGCCCACCTCCGCAAGCAGAAACAGAAGACAAGTAGCAAAAAGACATGAACTCCCAGGGGTGGGGTGTGGGAGACATCTTTCTATATTTCTTTTTGCAGTTCTCAAAAGACTGACTACAATGAGAAAAAGACTTTCTATAAAGGGTGGCAAAAGAAATTAACAAATTAATGAAAGAGACGAGAAAAGTGATGCCATTTGGTGATATGTGTGTAGCACAAAGGAAAACCTCCCACTTTGCCTGCAAAAGTAGCCCAAATACACCTCAGACAACTTCTCAACAAAGGCAGAGCAATTGTGGGAGTGTGAGCCTGACAGTGGAGGTGCTGAGTGTTGTTTGGGTGTTCACAGCAAAAAGAGATCTGTTGTGCTCTTTGCTCATTGAAATGTTCGTGAATTAAGACCAGCTTTGTAATAAGTTAATTAGAATGAAAGGAAAGCACATTGCCCCCCATATGAACGAATGTATCAGTAGTTTCTAGAAAGGCAGCAGAGATGGCCTTGTGAAGTGTGGAGATGTGTTCACTGCACGCCTTGTGAGTCTAATGAGCAAAAGCAAATGGTCCAAAAAAAGAGAAAAGTAAGTATGGTGTCCATTCCTCTCAAGATTAACCAAAAATAACCTGTTTATCTCCCCCACCCACCCCCACCGCCCCGTTACACTTGTAGCCACCACCTTTAATTTTTTATTTGGCTTAAAAATGCACTTTTCTTTTTTTTGCTTGAGAGCTATATGATGCTTATTTAAATACTGATTTGCAGGCCTTACTAAGCAAGCACAAGTTACTCATCATTTTTGTGTTTTGAAAGGAGTTGCTTGTAGATGCATTATGAGAACTCTGAGTTCAGAGCATCATCTCATGACGCCCCTACCCGAGGACGTGGCAGATGCTGCCTCCTGCAGCCATGCAGCTGCAGAGCGTTCTGCCAACCAGAAGGCATGGTTCGGGGTGGCTGGGTGGAGAAGACACAGGGATACTGTATCTGAAGAATATTTCTGAAGAGGAGCAACTGAACACTGGAGGCATTTTTTTGAAAAATATAAGAAACCCCACACACATTCAGACTGCTGATATCTTGATATATTTAAGTCTGAAAACATATTTTCTCCTCAGGAAAGCTGGGGACCACTTTCTTACCTGTGCAAATAAACCAAAGGATACTGTGTGAACCAAACAATCTTTTCAAAGCAGGGTGCTTTTCCAGGCTTCTGGCTTCAATGAGAAGAAGTGCAGTAAAAAAGAAATTATATTTTTGGTGAAAGATCAATTCATCTGCCAGATGCTTGTGGAATGGAAAATTTTGCTTCATGTTCACCCACCCCAAACGAAGGGGAACGAATTTAAGTACCTTTTAAATTAAGCAGTTCTACTCCATCACCACGATGCTTCTGAAAGTGGCATTTTATTATGGTCTCAAACAATTATTTTTTAAAAATAAATACAGTTAACATTGCGTGATTTCTACATTCATGTGAAAATTATTTATTAGCCAGCACGAGACGCATGAGCTCATTATTGCTCTGATTCCTCGCCTTCTGTTTGCCCACAGCGAACTCATTATTTAAGAGCTTCAAGAGCATTCCAGCTGCTGGCGTGTTAAAAAATGCATTGTATTGATTTGTACTGGTAGTTCATAAAGTTTAATTAAAACACAGGACACAAATGGAAGGTGGCATTGGATTGCGAATAAACTATGTATTGGGACCTTGGAGTAAGAATGCTATGTCTTTAGTTTTTGGAAATCAGTGGTTTAAGCATAGACCAGGATGTCTCAGCCTCAACACCACTGACAGACAGGGCTGGATAATCCTTGTTGTGGGAGCTGTCCTGTGTACTGCGGAGGCGTTTACTACATGGTCTCTACCCACTGGATGCCGTTAACTTTGTGTCTCAGTTGTCTAGCGCTGACAGAACAGAAATGCCTCAAGCAGATGGCTTTCATAAACATAACATTTCTCACAGTTTAAGAGCATAGATGTCCAAACTGAGACTGCCAGCTCCAGGGGAAGGTCTGTTATGTGTGTATCTCCTGGTTCTGGGGCAATTTCCCGGCACAGGTTTCCCAGGACAAACTTCCCTCCTGGTCCTTGTCTTACTGCAGTAGGTCCCTCTGATCCCTGTGCAGTTGTTTAATCTCAATTATATGCTGAGAGAGATTCATTTCAAATGCAGTCCAGTCCTCTAGATTGTATCCTGCCTTGTTAACGTTGTTGTTACTGCCTGCCTTCAAGCCAGATCTGACCCATTGCTGACCCTCCAGTGGGTTTTCAGACACAGTAAATCACACAGTTGGAGATTGCCCATCCATCTCTTGTAGAGTGTGGTAGATTCGAACCGTGTACCTTTGGGATTACAGCACAACTTCTTACTACTAGGCCACAAAGCACCAGAGCTGCATTAACATTACTGATGCTAATCCTGCCATTACTATCATGTTACCGTTACTGTGTACCATCAAGTTGTATACCACTGACTCATAGCTGACCCTCCGGCCAGTTTTCAGAAGCAGTTAAATCACACAGGAGGAGATTGTCCATCTTTCTCCTATGGAGCAGCTGGTGGATTTGAACAACATGCCTTCTGATTGGCAGCACAATTCCTTTCCACCAGATCTTTCTGTGAATATCCTGGAGGTTAAGATTTACAAGACACATGATAATTACATCACATCCCAAAATTAAGCGTAATGCTGAGACTCATGCCTGCCAAGTTGACACATTATGTAGGGAGACACAATCTAGAACATCTCTCACCCAGCCATGACTGGTGGAATGCCTGCGATCATTGCCAGGTATCTCCTAGGAGCCAAAAGCAACCCTGATTAGGAAGCACAGATCTGGAAGGACATGAGAACAGTGAAAGCCATTTATCTGTTTTACTTGGCCTTTGTCACTAGAAGAAATTGAGACTGACTTCTAAGGTCTCCTCTGCTTTTCTGTTTAACATGTTTGCATCTGAGGATGACAGTGGAGTCTCAGGGCCCACGTCTGACCTGTCCCCACCCTGCGTTCTCCCATTCCCTGGAGGATACATTGCCAGCAACAACATCAGGATTGATCAGATGTCCTGACCGTAGAATTAGGCAGGTATAAGTGTCCTATGAGGGCCAGTGATGGCTCAGTGGTAGAATTCTCACTTTCCCTGTGGGAGACCCAGCCAGGGCAGCTCATACACAAGCCCAGCTCCCTATCAGTGGAGACTTGTGTGTTAGGATGCTCAACAGAGCTTAGCAGAGCTTCCAGAGGAAGGGGGACGAGGAAGACAGGCCTCTTGATCAAATTCTAAAAATCAGTTAATGAAAACATTGTCAGCTCCACAACTGACTATGGGCTGGGTTGGGACCAGGCAAGATTCCCTTCTGTCCTGCAGTGGGTCGGCGTGCGTCGGGGCGGACGTGATGACAGCAGGTGTCCCCGCATTGGTGTCTTCAGAGGCTGTATTCAGTGGGCTGAGCATCTGCTGGTTTAAACTGCAAGCTGCAGATGCCTGGCATAGTGGTCAAGAATGAGCTTTTAAATGCTGAGGAAACGGTACATATTTCTATTCTTTTAAGGCGTAGGTAAAATGGTTTGATGAAGGGGTAGCCATGTCTTCCCCGGAAAGGAGCTATGCAGCCAGAGGATATCCGTCCCACCTCGAGTTAGAGATAATACACAAAAGAAAGGCTCACACGGTCCTGCAGAAACATTTTAAATAGGTGTCCGGAATTTAAACCAGCAAATGAGAGTAATTCCTGCCAAAACATCTCTGCATGTTGGCTTTGTCTAAAGCCCCTTCCAACTCCCAAGTACTCTGTCTGGTCATACTCTACATGTATTGCCTCGTGACCAGCCCAGGCATCCGCTGGACCTGGGGCTTCTAGTGTAAAACTTAGGGTCTTGATGCAGTGGTGTGCTGGGGCAGGCTCACGAGAGAGCATCTTGCCTTAGTTCCTTACTGGCCAGGGACAGTAGATTGGTAGTATGACACCAACCACAGTGACAGTATTTACAACATGGAAATTAAAAACAGAAAGCTAGAAACTGCTACAAACTAGGCTTCCCCCTGCTCAGAGAGCCACTGTTAAACATTTAGCAGCGCAGCACTGTGTTCATGTCACGTAACTTGACCTTGTGCTCAGGTTTTCCTCTAATGTTGTTTTATGACCTTATTCTCAATAAATGGGCCTAAGTGGCTAAAGCACTCGGCCATGGACCACAAGTTTGGGAGTTTGAATCCCCTAGCAGGAGCGGCATCCACTTCCTAAACAACATGCCTCTGGAAGCTATGAACTTTGATAAATGTCAATAGTTGTAAAGGAGCTTCAGGCCTTTTGTTCCTAGGGTCACCATGAGTCATGCTTGACTCAAAGACAAATCAGCAACACTCTGTAGGGGAAAGACGTCACAGTCAGCTTCCATGACGATCTAAATCCTCAGAAGCCCTGTCCTGTATGGTCACTGTGAGTCAGAATCACATAGTGGGTCTTGGTGTTTGTATTGACAAAATATGGGCAACTTCTAACACAAGTCAGTGCTAGGAGAGCATCAGGCCTCATAATCAGGCTTAGGAGTTTTCAAGAGTTAAATACAGATCTATTTTTAAAAGGCTACCTGATCCAAGTAGATAAATAAACCTAAATTATTAGAAAGTAGCAACCTAGAACCCAAATTTAATATTTGTTTTAAGAAAGATCTTGTCATGTTTGCTGATTTTATAGTTAAAAAAATTCAGAGTAGTCTGCTGGTCAATGTCATGGTTTCTCTAGTTCAAGTCAAGACTCCACTTTCCTCAAGTTGGTTCCAACTCATGGCAACCTCCATTGGAATTCGAATCCACCAGCTGCCCTGCAGGAGAGTGAGGGGCTGTTGTGTCCCATGTAATGTACCGCCTTTGAAAGCCCACTGGAGGGTCAGCTTTTCACTTGCTGGCACACCACAATAACAGATCTTTATGGGAAGAAACTGCCTGTCTTTCTCCTATTGGGTGATTGGTGAATTCAAACTATAACCTTTCAGTTAGCAAGTTAAAATGTAACAGTACACCAATGGGAGTTCGAATCTCAGTACTTTCATTTGATACTTAGTCAGTCACCCAGCATCAGTGTATCTTTGTTCAGGGGGTGAAGGCACAAGCATCTATGTTATGAGTCCTTTGGACATATCAAAGACATAGCA